ATAGGGTAGCCGTACACCGTAATAATGTAATTATTTTCTCAGATTTAATAGGAATTGTCAAATTTTCTCTAGAAACAACAATAAATAATAAATATGTTTGACTGTATTAATATGTTTGTATATATTAAAATTAATATCCCTCTGGAATAAATGTTTTATTATGAGTACATAAAACATAAGGATATTTTAAACGCCACTCAACATGTCTTTAGTGGTATTAACTAGTTAAAAAGCCTATGAATTTAGCATATCCATACTAGTCCCACTACAAATATGAAATGGGCGAGATCTGACATGCATTGAACCTCTGGTCCCTGACTGCCTTAAGTTCCAATGGAGTTGTTGATCAGAACAGTTCGTGATGAAGCATGAAGTTTCTTGGGAAATCATGCCGTGATATTTGCCAGTATAGTGAAACGTTCAACTCATTTCATAGTTGTCCGCTTAATTAGCTTCGAATAAAGATTAATAAAGTGACATCATATCAACACTATTCATGCTTACCTTAACGTCTCCGTCCTCCCAATAGTATCGTAGTTGAGCAAGCCAATTAAAATCATTATCTGAAGTAACCTGCTTTTTATTCATGTCGGCAACTACATCTCGTGCGTGCACATCAATCACAACAAGAGCACCCAATGTAATTCGCTGCTGAGCATTTAGTCGGCCGCGAACTAAGCAAACGATTTGAGCTATTTGTTCATCGCATTTGCTCTTGTAAGCAAGTAGGCCCTCCGATGATCCAGCAAATTGAAGAGCAGCACTTACTTCAAGTGTCCAGAAGATCTGTGAAACGCACAATACAACCTGACCAGGCCAATCACATACCCATTCCTCTCGAGGATCCTGTTCATAGGCCTTAGAAATAAAAAAAATAAGGCCAGGTAATTATTAGTGCATTTATTTTAGATATATATATATATATAAGAGAGGGGCAAAAAGGTTTATATAGTGACAGTCAGACATGTCTTAATTCGGCTCTCTTCCAAAGAAAGGTTTGAACAGCAAAATGGATCAGGCATTTACTAAATATACCTTCCCTAATAAAGTCTTTAAGCTTAAAGACATCTCAAGGGAGTTATATCTGAAAAGTTTAGTAGTAACCACAAATTTACAATTTCATAGCTTCTTAATTCAAACGATAATTGATCTTCTATAAAGTTCGTCTCAATTATATACTTTAATAGAAGTAGTTTGACCTGGTGATCGCAAATTGCTCATATTGATAGGAAGACTTGAAGGAACATACCTAATCAGGAGCCCATTCTATGCATGATAGTTTTCAGAGTTGGATCGTGGACGTGGTATATTCCGAGATTTTTCGACGACATCGTCAGTGAGTCATGCCACACTTAGCATCAAACTACAACTCGTCAAAGAGACAATGGTAGACAATCCTATGAGCAATTGTCTGCTAAACGATCGTTGTATCTCTCCTTCCGCAACTGGGCTAATCATCAATCCTATATCCTCGTATCACGCCTTCACTATCACAATTTTTTACTTGCTTATCAAAATGTGGTGTGGTGTGCCCTTTTGAGCGGTTTTCATGAGAACTCTCCACACTCCACATTGGCTTTCTCACCCCCTTTCAGTCCCCTTCACTCTTGTGCTGGGAATGTTGATTATAGTCTGCGTTATTGTTGCGCAGTCCCCATCTCATAGGTCTTAGCATAATCTTCCTCTTGCCCATAAGACCCCTGTAACCTCATCTGTGCTACTTGAGGCGTTAGTTCCCACACTATGCTTCTGGGAGAATAACTTGAGGCTAAAGCCACTGAGTAATTCTCATGGTCAGGGCATTGTTTTATGGACCACGTTTATGATAAAATAGGCCTGAAGTCAGCCAACTAGCTCTAGTCTCCACCGCATCTATCCTGCTTCTATCCATAATTACAAATCTATGACTTCCGATGCCCTATTTTCTTGCGTATCAACCCAGAAATGTTGTGGTTTAACATTGAACCTAGTCAAAGCAATTCAAGTGAAATAGTTAAATCAGGCAGATAGCAGACGGATCCTATCGAGCAAGAGAGACACGCTGATAAGACATAGGGAAGTGGAATTGCGTAACAATATGTCAGATTCTGATCAACATTCCCAGGACAAGGGTGAAGGGGGGTGAGAAAACCAGCGTGGAGTGTGGAGAGTTTTCAGGAAAGCCGCTCAAAAGGACACACCATACCACATTTAAATGAGCAACTACAAAATTGTAATAGTGAAGGCATGATACGAGGGTATAGGTAATGTTGATTGGCCCAGGGCGGAAGGAGAAATACCACGATTATTTAACAGACATTGGTCAAGGGATCGGCTTTACTGGTCTCTTTCAAGAGTTGAAATTTGGTGTTAAAAATGACAAGACTCACTGACGATGCCGACTACGATACCAGAGAAAGGTCTGGGAATGTACCACGTCCATGGTCCGATTCTGGAAATTATCGCGCATACTTATCGACTAGGTGCGTTCCTCTAAGTCTTCCTACCAATATGAGAAAGTTGCGAAAACAAGGTCAACCACTTCTATACAACGAAAGGCCTCACCATCTTGGTCTTCATACCTACGATTAACCTATGTAAGTAAAATTGACCAACAATCCACCGATTGCAGGCGGACAAAGATGACAATTGTAAGTCAATCCTGCCATTTTACATTTTGAAATTATTGCAAACATTATGCTATCGCTCCCCGATTCTGCAATCTAATGAAGAAATACCATTCGGACACAGTCAATGAAATACTTTATCACGTCTCCATCCATAAATTAGAGAAAAGTTGCGAGACTGAATGGCGTAAGTTATTTAAGTTCAAAGATATCACGTCTAGATTAAAGAAGGATCTAGGTGGGGTTCTCACTTCGAAAGATTTTTAGAAACTACAGAGCGTGACAGACCAAAAGTCACAGAGGGTCCGGGATCTGATAAATAAGCGGCATGACAAGAGATTGCTTAGCTATGGGATAATAAAACAACGCAAGATCAAGCCAACCCGGGCAAATTTTTATGGTTCCGTATTGAAGGCATCAACTGTAACAGGCGACGATAGCATCAAGGTAGTAATCCTATATTTAATCCCTCTTGATTAGGAAATTACGGATCTCTTGAAGAAGGGGTTAGATTTTTTTATAGGTGACGAAGGAAACGTTCTTAGTAATATTATGGTGGAAGTTTTCAACATAACGGATAAATATCCAGAAACAAGGCGGGAAATGAAACTGGAAATAATCCTACAGATCCTGACACAGCCTGAACCGATGCCCAAGAGCAGATTGATTGATATACGGAAAAAATTACAAAAGAATGATCAAATAGTTATTACGGCGAATAAGGGAGAAGCGACGGTTGTAATTGACAGGAAAGTAGCCTAGGTGACCGGAACACTTATCAAATACTAAGGAAAGATCCAACCATGGAGATCAACAAGACACTGAACAATATGCTAAAGGAAATGCATAATAATGGAGAAATTTATAGACGGATGATGTAATCTTTAATAAAAAATGACGCAAAACAACCAATAGCCTACGGACTACCGAAGATACACAGTCAACAACAAGTATGGAGCAATACAAAAACTAGCAAAATTCATTTACTTGAAGCCTAAGAACGTAAATGACAGACTCTCGAATACTGTTAAGAATCCATATGAATTTTCTCAAAGTATCCAGAACATTGGGCTGGTGGGACGTAACTCTTGGTGAGTTTCGATTTACAATATATGTACACAAACATCTCAGGTGAGAAGGCGGTAGGCGTATTACTGAAGTTATTGGAGCGAGAAGAGGACATCCTGAAGACAGAACGGATACGGAAGGAATCGTTAACACGACTAATCAAACTGACAGTAAGGATCACATATTTTACGGTTAACGGCAATATCTACGAGCAAATGGTTGGATTACCAATGGGATCCCCACTCTTACCTCTTTTGGCAAATGTGTATAAGGAAAAGTTGGAAAGGGAATTCGAGAAGTCACTACTGCAACCAAGAAAGCTTATGTGATACTTAGATGACTACTTTTTCTTTGGTCACATTGTAAGGAAAATTTAAATAAGTTCCTCAATTTTATTAGCCAACTGAATGAAAGAATCAAATTCGCATTGAAGGGGGGGATGAACGACTATCCTTTCTGGATATTTAAGTCATGCGCTCCAACTGGACACTCATGAGGAGACTATACAGAAAGAATTAATATGCGGAAATAATCCTTAATTTTCATTCTCACCATAACTACAGACTGAAGATCGAAATACTGAGGAGTTTGATCATCAGAAGCTTACGACTAGCAGACACTGAGTTCTGGGACGAGGAGTTGGACAAGCTGACTCGAAATTGTTTTAGTTATGGGTACCCGAAATAATTTAAATAATAAAATGTAGATGTTATAAAGGGCAAATTTCAACTCGGATTGTATAAAAATCCGATCAGGAATCAGGACGACTAGAAGTGGACTTACCTGCCCTCATCTGAATTAAGCCAAAAATTGCGACCGTTACTGAGGTAATAAAATATCAAGGTGATAACAAAGGAGCAGACAACAATTTAACGACGTAACACGACAAGACTGACAAAATGGATTGCTCTAGAATTTATCGCATCAAATGCGACAACTTTGAGCAGAAGAATATTGTTGAAATAGGACGAAAAATCTGCCTATGAATCAATGAGCATCAAAGACTCTACAAGAACATGAATAAGGGAAGATCCGAAATAGCGAAACACATTAAACGAACGGATAAGCTAGACTGGAAATCGACGGAAAGGTTGGTTGCATATGGTGAATATACAAGAAAACGCAAGATCTAAAAGGCCGTCGATATATTACAGAGAGAACTCTAATGATCAGGAGATTTGAATAAGGCAGGATCAGAGAAAACTTAGCATATTGCCTAAACAAACTCGGAGAAGACCAGGCAACAATAAGATCAGCAAGAAGAAGACGATTTGATCGAGGTAACATCTATAGTTTTAAGATAAGAAATCGCAAGGAGACCTGAAAGGAACAATCAGAAGGCAAAATGAGACGTTTTTAATGAGCCTAATCAAAACAAGTATAACCACAACATTTGTGGGTGGGCACACAAGAGACTAGGTCATAGGATGTGATAGACATGGTATTAGGGATAGAAACAGGATAGACATGGTGGAGACTAGAACTATTTGGCTAACAATCATAGAAGTGATCCATGAAGCACGTCTATTGTTAGCCAACTAGCTTTATTAGCCAACGCGTCTATCCTGTTTCTATCCCTAATACAAAGCCTATGACTTCCTATGCCATGGCCTCTTGTGTGCCAACCCACAAATGCTGTGTTTCTACATTGAACCTAATCAAAACAAGTAGAACCTCAACATTTATGCGTTGGCACATAAGATACTAGGGGATAGCATGTCATAGACTTGGTATTAGAGATAGAAACAGCATAGACGTGGCGACGACTGGAGGCAGTCGGCTGACAGTAGGCCTGTTTTAACATAGACGTGCTCAATGTAGTAAAGGCTTGACCATCAGATATACTCAGAGGCTTTAGCCTCGAATTAGTCACCCAGGCACAGGGGATGGTTAATAACGCCTGGAGTAGCACAGATAAGGTGGCAGGGGCCGAGTAAAATATTTAAACCAGGGGGATAGCAGACGGATCCTACGAGTAAAGAGAAAGACTGATAAGCAAAAAAAGGAATGCATAACACTATGGCAGACTCTGATAAACATTCCCATCACAAGGGTGAAGGGGGGTGGAATAGCCAGATTGGAGTGTTGAAAGTTCTAATGATAGCCATTCAGAAGAGCACACCTTACCACATTTAAATAAGCAAGTAAAATATTGTGATATTGAAAGCGTGATACGAGGATATAGGATTGCTGATTATCCCAAGGCTAAAGGAGACATACCACGACCCTTTTGCAGACACTTGGTAAAAGGTCCGGCTTCACTTATCTCTTTTACGAGTTGT